GGACAATGTAAACGCGAAAGTACTCGTACGTACAGGTGTAAACATGCAGACAAACAAGATCACCAACTAAAGCGTAAATAAAAGCCCTTTGAAGTAAATGGTTTTTTTTAATTCTCAGCAATTTTGAATAAGTCACACATTCCAGCCCGCCCAGTGAGAAACACAAATTGGCAATGGAACATGCAGCATTGCAAAGATAAAGCTGCGATAGCTTGAATCAAATAATAGTTTTAAATCAAACTCGAAGTTGCCCTTTAAACAAAAACACCCGCTGCTCAAGAGATAAAAACTGTTCAAGAGATAAAAACGCAGTGCAGATTTACAGCCCATGTTGGTTTCACTGCAATGTTTTAAATGGACAAGAATGGGGGGAGGAGGGGGGGGGGACAAGCATCCAAATGTATTGTGACAAAAGAGGCCTCTGGGAAATCCCATGATAAAGAGGTGTTCGAAACGAATTAAGAACCAACTAAGATGTTTCACACATGTAATCAATACATGCGCACACGGCCTCCAAGCCTGCAATGTGTCAAGTGCCTCGTAATTCTGTAGGAATAGCCATAGTTTCCGCAAGGATCGAACAATCGTGCCACACGGCAGCGGCTGGCAAATGCGAATGTATGTGCAGAGTTGGGGCCAATTCATCCCAATAAGTCATTGATTTGTTTAACCTTTGTACACAACTATTTTATTTATGAGTGTCGTATCCTGAAAGGGAGAGAGAGCCCAAGGTCGGCTGTCAGTTGACACAACATTGCCGTTCAGGGGAAAGAGAGTAAACATTATTGCGATTAATTTTGGTATTATACAGATACAATGGTTCGGTCAGAAAGTTTTCAAATGGCATTTTATCTTCAGCTTGCCACGTATCCAGGTATAAAAAAAAAACACTCGAGAAGACAAACAGCTGCAGGCTTTTTTGATTCCATTTTGACGTAAACAATGTACTTGAAAAAATGTAATTCCCTTATTTATATATTTCCTTTAAAGACATGCTGCATAGACTTTATACCTGCCATTATCATTACAGCCCACCTCTCTTATCTACTTGCGCCACGTGAGGCAAAGCACGAAATCCAATTAACGGTTGCAAAACGCGAATGGAGCACATGGACGTTTCTTGCAAAGCTCAATGCCATCTCCTTCAGCTGAGCTGGGCCCTGTAAGGCACCAGATGCCAGCCCGTTGATTCGCAGCAGAGCGATCCACAAGCTCCACAGTCGTGCAATCAAGGTCAAGGCATAAAAGACAAAGACTCCCCATATAACCTTAAGAGACTGCTGGGGCAAGTTCTGTTAGCGAGAACGAATTAAGGCTGCCACGGCACACTCGGGGGTGGGTGGCCAACACCACGCCCGAGCACCTTCGTCTCCCGAGTGGCAATGTTTACACATTGCACCAGGTACTCATTTGAGGCCGAGTCGACCTCGGAGAGGCCCAGGACCGGGTCAGATAGAGTAGTCGTCACTGGTGTTGCCAGTGAGCGGGAATCAAACTCATGTGGCCGGGTTTGTTGCGCAGTCTATCCACTGTGCCACCGCCTCCCACACACCATGCATGCTCTCACACTACTCGCAACCAACCTGCAAAGTGTTTGATAAAACCTTAAAGTGTGAACTTTGAGCGTCGCTTATCTTCGTTGATGCAAGTTTTACCAAGCTGAGATGGATTATAAATGGGGCCGAGTTGACCCTGGCTGGGATTTAAATCCAAGTGTCATAAAAGAGCCCCTGATGCTACGGCCACAGGAACATAGCCTGATGTGCAATGTACTTTAATAAAGCCTGTGGCGCATACGACACAACACGTGGGATACGTACATATGCAGTGTATGGACACATGTTAAATACATAAAAGCACAGTGACGCACATACAACACGCTCGCGTTCGTAAAAAAAAAAACTTACACCGTTTCGTATACAGTATGATTTTGTTTGAGACATTCTTCTAAGTACCAGACGCCAGCTTTCTCTGATCCAAAATTATGGGTGACCACACACGGGATATCGTTTGCAGATGTGTAAAATCCAATCAGCACCACGTCACAAAGGAACGGACCCCCCCCCTCACCCCCCAGCTGTGACCTTAATTCTATCCGATTATGACGATAAGGTCAGCCGTGCTTATTGAATGACCTAAATGCCATAACATTAAGCGCAGGTTAATAGATTAATTGTAAGACTTCCTTGAATGAGCTTGACTCTGCAAAAGTTTGCTAAAACGCACCTTTGTCTGAATGGTATTACTGGAGCTGTCCGCACCATAAACAATATTATTTGCAAAACGCTCAATATTAGTTTATTACATTCTATTAAAATTCTATGCACGTGAATATTTAAGCGTCGTTTACGCTCGCAATTAAGAATTTAATAAAATACCCGATCATAACTTGTTTGCATTCAAAATAAAATATTGTAATCAACACCTATAATAATAGAAGCCCTGCTTAGTAAATTATAATTCCCCCCCCCCACCACCCCATACTTATCCACAGATGTCCCTCTGTTAATTATCTATCAGAGCTCGGTCCAAAAAAGGCTCTCGTTGTTTACAGCTGCACCTGTTCCCTAATTAAGTGGGGCTCCGGCGTGGCCCATTGGTGTTGAAGGCCGGCAGCGCCGCCGCATCTTCCAGCACTCAACGGGGCCTCTGCCCACCGTGGCCTGGGCGGTGTTTGGGGGGCCCGTGTGCGTGATGTGCCACTGGATGCAACACGCACGTTATAAATTTGTGGTACCATCGTCGTCGTCGAACTCTACGGCAGCGCGGGGGTGGTGGGGGGGGAAAGGCTGAGGTGACCGGGGCAACCCCACCAAAAACTGCGCCCCCATTGCCACCTCAACACTCGGCAAAAAATCCACAAAGGGCCTTGCTGGTGTTTGCGCGCCGCCATTCATATCGACACAGAGCCCCGCTTATCCTGTCCCACACGTCGCAATGCGCGATGCAAAATCCGGCATCGCGCCTCGCATTGGTGAAGCCAGAGGTCGCGCGGGTCTATAAATAGAATGTAAAATTTCTATTTTTGCTAAAAATATGATTTAACCTGTCGATGGACAGCATTTCATCCGTCAATCGATGTGATGACTATATCAGCATAATGAAGTGCATTTTTTTTTTGTCTGGGCTCTGCCTTTCTTTACACAGCCACGGCTCCGACAACAAAGGGAGCCACCGGGCCGGGTTCTGTAGCCTCAGCTGCGGGCAGGCCTCATCCCGCACCGCAGATGGGCAAGGTCAGGGCAGAGTGGCCCGCACGTGGCCTGAGAGAGCGAGCGAGAGAGCACGAGCGGAGCTCACTTTGAAGCAAAGCAGAGAGCGCCTGCTGCCAGTGAAGAGCACGCCACTACAGCCCAAGCTGCATAATTTGCCTCCGGCTGTTTTTCATATTTGATGGGATATCTAATTTTTTTTTTATATTTACAGATAAAACCACAGATTCTCAAGTGCCCTCAGTCATTGCCGAATGGCAAACACATGTGAAGGGGTTTTGTCCTATCTTCCACCCCCCACCCCCTTACCCTCTGTTTAGTAACAAAGCCAACCAAAGTTAATTTTCTATTATTACTTTTATTAATTTTAATTTTATTTTTTACCTACGTGACTTTACCGAATAAACCTAAAAGTATTTGGCACGTAGACTAAATCCGCCTTTAACAAAACCAATCTTCGCTAGTTAATGAAATACATGTTATACCGATTGCCTTTCGTTGCATAATTCTATTGAATTTAATCACGTTAATATATGTTCGGTCACACTGGAAAAACTACAATTATGCAGCATCGAGTTCCGTGTAAAATGCCGTCTGCCGTTTATTAAAGTATTCCCAAAAAATGCTAATCCGTGCCGAGTGATATTCATTCTATAAGAGCCATTGAAATATTGACGTTCCCGACAGATACAAATGATTACCTTTCACTCCATGCATCATCTGGAGATTAAAATCGATGGCTCCCACAATGCCCTGCAGCAACCTCAGACACTTATCTGCTGCTGCAGTCTCTCACCCTTCCCACTCGAAGAGCCTGTGCTCAGCTGAACTTAGCCGAGTCGTATACACATACATAATTAATCTCTCAGATGCGTTTTCTGGTTGTACCGCGCGTAGTTTCGCACGACGTCCGACTTCTCGCTGCACGTGATGGGGAGCTTCTTCGGGAACAGCATCACTTCAGGAAGCGAATATCCTATTAGAAGAAGCTACCATTACGTAGAACGAAACGTCGGACGTCGTGACAAACGACACGCGGTTCGACCCGAAAAAGACACAGGAGAGCTGTAACGCACAACCACTAAAACCTACGGTCATATTGCTGCTACCTCGTGATTACAGTACCCCAGAGTTATTTTTAAACGGCCACATAACCTCTGAACTTGAGAAAAAGTGACCCGATTTTTTTTCATTTTTATGAGCTTTGAACCGGGGGGGAGGGGGGGGCTTGACACAGGCTTGGTAACATTTCGTCGCACACTTGTATATCAAAAAAGGTCACTTTTGTTTCTGCTAGTGTATTTGAGCAGGAATTACTTCTTTGCGGAAGGCAGTAACGTGCACACAAACACGCCTGCCCTTGCGAGGCTCTTGTTGAGTCCAAGCAAGCGGATGTGTGTGTATGTTGAGAAACGTTATGGTATCCGGCTTCTAACCAGGACCTTGGACTTCAAAGAAGGTGCATAGCCTTCTGGTGATGCAACAATCCACGGAACTCACGTTAGCGACGCTGAAGACCCAATCAGCTGGCTCGAAAGAGGTTTCGTTTGTTTTCCCCTTGACAACAAATTGTCCATTGTCGATTAAATCAGTGAATTAACTAGTTGGCCATTTCATAGATAATCTCCCAACTTCATTTACATATTGCGTATTTGTGTCTACCATCATCAGCTGGCAACACTTTCTAAGCAAATATGAAGTTAAACACATTCAGGTTAGATCCCACGACGTGGATGCATGTCTTTAAAAATGCGGATCCCATGTGCGCCGGCGTGATGCTTTACTCACCATTGAGGGAGAGCAGATTGTCCATTCCAGGGTGTGGGTAACCAATGCCCAAGCGACCTGCAAACACAACCCACACACGTCCCTTGAGCCACGCAGACAATCAGCCTCAGCCGCGGGGCCATATGTTCATGCGCGAGGCACGGAGTTAAACATCAACTCAATCTAGGACATAGGTAAATCATTTAAAAAGAATCGATTTTTTCACTTTTGCTTAAATAAAAAAAATCTGCCGATGCCTCCGAGCCATAGCTTCAACGGGGATGTGCGAGAAAGAAAACCCAGAGACGAAGAACGCGCGCGTTGGGCAGCCCAGCGTAAACGCGTGCACTTTAAGCGATTCATCCGATAACGGCACAAAAATACATTTTGCTCTTAATGTACAGTATTTATGATTTCACCGATTAATAATAAAAAAAAATTATGCTTGGAGGGGGAGGTTGGAAAAAACCAAATCAAGATTTCGTTTTTCCCCACAAACAAGGCAGTGTGCATTTGCGTACTCTGTGGAATATTTTTTGTTTTCGAGACATAAATAATTAACATTTGACAATAAAGGTCAACGAGATCCCTATTGCGAGTGGGGAGCTCTTGGAGCCGAAATCATTAAGATTCTGCCCGGACGACCAACACCCTCGCAGTCTGGCTGTGAGCGCCTGCAATCAAGTCTGCAGCATGCGTGCGTACGTGCTTGTGTACGTGCGCGCGCGTGCGTAGCAGCAGATAAAGGTGCACTCAAAACAAACACACGGCCCTGGCACACTCCTGGTGATTTATTTATTCGATGCATGGTGCCGTGCTATAGAAATCCTGCTCGATTTCAGCTCAATGGAAACCCCCCCTTGCTTTCTAGTCCTTCCAATGGAAAAATACAAGGACAGAGGATACAAACAAAAACCGTGACCATTAAACAACACAAACAATGCAATGGGCGATATCGGAGCAGAACAGAGTTGTTAATAAAACATCACAGTTCGTTCCTGCTTTGTGAACGGTTTGCCATTGTGCCCCCACCCTGGCAATTTATAACTTGCGGTTAATCGACATATAAATGCATCTGTCCGGAAGTAAGCACCACCGGTGGTAAAGTGAATAGATGGAAGAGGAGGGTGGGGGGGGGAGATAATGCTGAAGCTGATCATCCTGTTCATTGGGATTGACAGAGGGTGGGGGGCGAGGGAGGGGGGGCATAAATACACCGTCCAGAGTCAAAACTATGAAGCTGTGGAGCAAGTATACCACAGTGGAACAGTTTGGTTGTTTACGTGACCAAGGTAAACATAAACAGGAATTAGGAATTCGACTTAAATTTAGACCCGTGGTGAATATTTTCAAAGCACTTTCAATTTGTTTTGCCATTAAAACTTGAAATTATTCAGCGGGTAGCAAAACGATTGCTGTACACAATATAAAACGCGCATTAATATTTCGTCTGTTATTATCTCAATACTAATTTAACAAAAAATATGCATTCATCGTAGAGATGACGTAGGAGGGGGGGGGGGTAATATAACTTTTCAAGGACGTAACCAACGTGTTTGCAACAAAAGGCAGGGCCGAACGCAAATGAAGCTCGCGCAGCACACGTAACTGTGGAAATGTCAATTGTTCTGATGGAGACGGACACAAAGGGGAGACAGCGGGGAGAGAAGAGACAGGGATTAAGCAATGTGGACATTGAGGGCACGCGATGAGTCAGCGCCTCTGCCAGCAGCCATTGCAGATAACGCTTAGTAAACAGGCCGAGCGTAGTATTGGGACAGAGCGGCAGGGAGAAAAATAGCAAAGTGACCTTCAAAGTCTGCTGGCAAAATATGGGGCCCAGGCACTCGCATGGCTCCTCATTGCCGAGCGAGTGAGTTGGCTGGCTGGCTAGGAGGAGGAGGAGAGAATAAAACTGGCATGGATGTTGCCGGCCCATCTGGGCCCTGTACGACTCCAGGATGGAAACAGTGCGACGGCGCCCTCGCATTTCTCGTACAGTTACATCTGCTGGGATTAAATGTTCTCCATTCTGAAATCCCACAGCCTTTACCCTTCACGCCCCCACTGCCACCACAACGGCTTCCCGCCCACCGACGGTGGATTTAAATAGACTGTGAGGAGAGGCACCCGATGGCAAACAGACATCTTTTTTTTAGTGCAGGGGGGATATTTATACGATTTGTCATGCCAGTCGAGTCAGGAAAATCTTGTAAATAAAAAAAGAAGCAATAGGCTAATATTACAAACTATCACAATTTATTCCATCAGCATAGGTATTGTATATTTGCCATCGAAAGTGTGAGAACACCAAATTTCCAACACTCGGTCACCGTGCAGAACGGCATGGTAAATGGGCCATTCGAGGTTTTAAAGAAATATGCAAATTCTCTACATAACCATGCAGCACTGCAAAAGCACAAGCTCAACCAAGCAATACATGGTTTTGCATTTTCCTGCCCCAGTTATATTCTAATTGTACGATCAGTGTCAAATCGTGAGATGAAGAAGTTCCCATTCGTAACCCGCAATTAGCGGTGCACCACCCGAAATCAGAAAACGATGACTGGAAGATAAGGCAAGCAAATTGTTGTCGGTCATTTCAATCAGGACTCGTTTTCGCACACCAAGCTACAGGCACTTTACACTTCTGGCAGTGAGTGATTGTATCATTGCAATCGGAAAGGGAATAAAAAATCTGGGATAAGACGAATTAAGTGAAAAAAATCTCGTTATTACGGCTTTATTGTTAAACCAAATGGCAACTGAGCATCAACTCACGACACTCGAGGGCACAGTTTAATCCAGGGTAAGGGACTGAATTTGAACCCAGGAAATTAGTGGAGGCAGCCCAGTGTGAGGACCCCTCAAGTACCTGGCTACCTTCAACAACCGTACAACCGACAAATGATTGACAACACTTTTTCCAGTGCTTTGTCTATTGCGATACAGAACAATATGTTAGGGTGAGAAATATAACTATACTAGCAACTAGGATCAGATCACATTTAATTCTTTTTAGCAAATATTTGTGTATTTCATTGTGCATCTTAGACACGAATAAATTGTTACAAAAAAGCATTTCACAGCCTTCTCATGTACACTGTCAATGAATGTGGTAGATACGACATGTTTATATATATATACACTTTCACCAGTACGCGTTCACATTTTTGGCAAATATTGAAAATATTTCAAATATGCACAAAAGGGCCATTCAACAGTATTTGATATTTTAACAATTCCAGCACATATTTTCCACTGCCTTTTTTTTCATACACGTAGATTAAAACAAAAATGAAAAGTGCGCGGGGCACAATTTCCAGTGCCCATGTCGCCCTGCGGCACAGTGGGGCTGCTGTTGAAAGAAAACGATGTGCCAGACCGGTTACACTTTTATTGGCAGCCGCTGCAGAGCCGCGAGCATCGTTTGGCAGGGCCCTGCCGGTCCGTGTGGATCGTAATGTTCTTGGCTGGCCGTCTTTGCGCACAAACGCTGGGACGGGGAGGGATGTCTAAATCGGGATGCGGGGAGATCAGGTGGAATTCACGTGCCCGTGCTCTTTTGCACACGAGCCTCAAACGCAGCTGGGGACGAAGGGCCGATGGCTGAATCGCATTTGACGAACCCCCCCGCCCCGACCCAGAATGCACTCGGCCCTCCCCAAATTGGTGTGGATCGAAATCGAGGGTTGCTGATACAACGCGTGCGTTGCGCGCACGCGTCGTATCACGCGACCGAGCGTGTTGGAGCGGCGGTGCGTTGAATCACGCGCTGTGCTATCGACTCTGCGCCCCTCCTCACCCCCGAGTTTGAGGCCAGTGGGGAGTGATACTTGAACCGATCCTGGGCAACCCCCCGACAACTACCAGGTTCACCAGCCTGCACTGACCATGTGCTATGAGAAAGGGCCATTGCCTGAAACGTCACCGATTTTGTATTGTTTTCATTTAAATCAGCGTTGTTGATGGGTGGCTTTTTGTAGCAGTGAAGGACAAAAACCACCATGAGCAATCCAGCATGGGGAGGCCTTTATCAAGCAGCAGATTCACAATTATTGGTTACTGTACTGTGAATTTTCCATTTCGTTTTTTGTCTGTTCCACGAGGCCATTCCAATTATTGGATCAGTGTAAAGGATAATGGGTCAAAGGATCCTTTAATTGATGAACTGATCATGAGGACCTTCACAGAGTAATGCATCCCCTTCTGTTAGACAACAGCTCATGGAAGGTAACATTACCATGGTACTGCTGTGAACCCTTCAATAACCCCCTTTATCCACACTTTGTCACACGCCCTTGCTACAAAGACACGTTTGTTTGCGTGGCAATCAAACAAATAAGTTTAATTCTAAGAGCTGGAAAATACTGAAAAAAACAAGTTGTGCAAGTTTTGGTGACTGGGCTTAAGCCATAAAATCCCTAAACTAGAAAGACCACTTTAATCATGGTCGTCTCTGCTCTATTCAAACCAAGGATCTCACTCTGCCAGTGCCGAGCCCTGCGTTATTCGGCTAACAACTTAGATTTTCTCAGGAAGATCGGGAGTTGTTAAAGTGTCTTCATGCTCAAACGAGCATTGGGGCTGCACCTCACGTGACTACGCTGGGTACTTATTTAATTGGTAATGAATTAATGATGGGCTGGGTCAATGCCAACTCGGATTTTTTTCAAAGGAGCAACCTTCTGATTTGTAAGTTCATTATTAGGTATCTCATGACCAGTGGTTTGAATATCCCAATGCCAAGATTTAAAAACAAATGTGACAGGATGATATTTGGCTGCAGGTCACATACACATGCAAATTTCAAAAAAGTGAAACACAGTACAAGCCAAACATCAAAGTGAAAGAAAATATATCAAGGTCAATAAACACCTCACTGTATACTGCAAATATAGGACATATGCTGTATAGAACATACATGAAATGTGGAGTCCCACAGCTTGACAACTTACGTGTCCTTTGCTTAATGTTAACGGGGCTCAATTGACCTCTGTGCAGTTCTGCTATTTTGAAGTACATTGCGTAAATTCATAATGCATAGTTAATAATTCAGATAATCATGGGCAAGGTAT